AATTGAGGGATATTATTATTATCTCGCAGATTTGCGAGAGCTTGGCGCAGTCGGACGAGTGGGAAGTGGTCGAACCTAATCGTGACGCGATGGGCCCTTACGCGTTCAAAGGGGATCAATGGGTAGGTTACGACGACGAGGATATAGTGAGATTAAAGGCGAGATACGTGAACGAGAAAAAGTTGGGAGGAATAATGTTCTGGACGATCGACAACGACGATTTCCGGGGGAAATGTCACGATCGGCCGTATCCCCTGATCGAAGCGGCGAAAGAGAGCCTCCTGTCCGACGCCACGTAAGTACGAAAATTTATTTTTTTCAATTTATCGTCATCGATGATTCTTCGAATTGCTCGTATCGAAATAAGGGACACCGTTAGGAAGTCGAAGCCGGTCGAGGGCCGCAAGAAGTCTCGGGTCCAAGGGACTCGAAGCGACACAGAGAGAAGGAAAAATGGCGGACGAGGCGGCACAACTGCGACACCTGTCTCGAAAAATCGAATTCCCACTTCTTCTTCGCGGCCGAGATATCGAACGTTCACGCGGCCGAGAGCGAGCGAACAGGACGAGGAGGAAGGGCGAGTCGATAGACGATCCTACGATCCTACGTCCGAGGACGAGGAGAAGCAGGGGAGGGAGGAGGAAGAGGAAAATTCGGAGAGGGGGAACGCGGTTAACGGGGCGAACAAGCGCGAGAGATCTAGAGATAGGAAGAAGAGTAGGGGGGCGAAAAATCGATCGAGTTCGAACAGGAATCGCAGAAAGCAAGTTCGTCGTAAAGAAGAGGGCAACAATGGCCTCGATTCGAAGGAAGAATCGTTGAGTAATAAACTGACTACCCCGGAACCCCCGACCACTCCCGATCCTGGAACAGGTAGATATTTAAAATTCATTTTACAAATGTAATAGGAAATACGCGTTTCGTTGTCTCGATAGATTTCAAGTGCGAGGACGAAGGATTTTTCTCCCACCCTCGAGACTGCAAAAAATATTTCTGGTGCTTGGACAGCGGCCCGGGAGGTTTGGGAGTGGTTGCGCATCAGTTCACCTGCCCTTCCGGTAATTATTTAATCCGTCATGTTTAAATTCTTGTAAAAATTTTCTCGTCTATTCGCGCAGGATTGGTGTTCAACAAGGCAGCCGATTCCTGCGACTACCCTCGCAACGTCGCGTGCCCGAAATCGAAGACGTCGTCGTCGACGACCAGAGCGCCGATAACAGCCGCCACAAGCCGCACCACTTACCTATACAGCACCACCACGCGTCGACCTTCCACCGCGAAACCGGATCCGGAGGAAGAATACGAGTATTACGAGGACGAAGACGAGGAAGAAGAAGGGGAGGAAGAGGAAGAGAAAGAGGAAGCCAAGGTGACCTCCACTCCCAAAACGCTTTTGTACAAAACGATCACCAGAAACAAGCCTAGCACTGCCAGTACTACTACTACTACTACTACTACAACAACAACAACAACAGAAGCGACTTTCACGACTTCGAAATCGATCGATTCGGAGGACGAAGAGGATCCAAAGGTTATAAAGGAGCTGATAACGCTGATCAAGAAAGCAGGTGGTATAGAGCAATTGGAGAAACAGTTGTTGCTTCAAGACAAAAATTCGAATGAGAGTTTGGCCAACTCTGGCGGAGAGAGTGCTACGCCAGCTACTATAAGTCGCACCTTGTACGAGCGCGTGTTGAATCGTCAGGCTGGTAAAGTTACGAGCAGGCAGAGATCTTCGGCCAATACGAATTTCGCGAATGGGCCGGGGAGAGCGCAGTTCGAGGGATTGGAAGAGGTGCCAGAGGTGAAGGGATTGAGACGATCGCAGAAACCGAAATACGTGACCATCGAGAGACCAAAGTACGAAGAAAATGGTATTTTTACAATTCTTTCCCCCTCGTCCCTATCCCGCGATACTGACCGACGGATCGAACGTCGTTTCTTCGTTCAGGCACTCGACGAAGGAACCGCCGTTGGACGGGGAAGAGGTGGAGGAAGGGGAAGAGGATCTGGACGGAGACAACACGGATGTGGCTTCCTCCGAGGAGCAAACGATTAACAATCCTTTTCTAACCAGCTCGACGCAGAGGGTGACGCCTAATTACATCGATATAAGACGCGCTCGACCCTCGACATCGAGGTAAGCGAAGAAAGAGATGAAGGGAGGAAACGTTATCTTACGAAACGTAAATCCTTCAGGAAAGACGAGAACGACGTTGAGGAGAAAAACAAGGATGGAGAAGAGGAGGCGCCAATTCGACGCCGACGTCCAAGGTAAGTCTTCTCTTCAATAACAAATGAAAAAAAATCTAAATTAAAAATCTGCAAAATTAACAGCAATACCAAGACGAGCTCAACCGAAAATGTTAGAGACGAGGAATCTCGTTCATCCGCGAGCGAAGAAAACTCGCAAACAACTAAATCCAGGTTTTTTTCCGTATTTCCAAATTATTTTTATTACATAGAAAAAAAAAAAACAACGCTATGTCGATTAACTTATTTCTTAATAATCTTATAGATACGTGAGCGTGCAAAGATTCAGAAGCACGACTCCCCAATCGACGGAGGCTGTTTCGGAGATTGTTGCATCGACCACGGAATCGATCGTTTCGATCGAACCGTCGAAAATCGGCGACGAGAAAATGGATACGACGACCAGCCCGTTATTAACAAATACCTTACCTTGGATCGGTTCGTCCTCGACGCCCAACGACGACATCCTCCCCGTTGAAACGGAGGCGGGAAGAACGGAAGAAGCTGAGACGGAGAGAGCGATCCTCTCAACGACTTCGGAGTCGAGCTCGACCACCACCGACTCCGTGAAACTCGTGGAAGATTCGGCGACGGAGATCCTGTTGACCACGGCGCCAGCGAGCTTGTCCACGTTGTCGATTCCGAATACGAGGATCAGCACCGCGTCGGTGTCTCAGCCGAGGCCGTTCGGCTTTAATCGAAGAAACAGGCCGTCGTCGAGCGAGCCCACGACCACCACCACCACCACCACTCCATTGCCACCGTCCAACGATCAGACGAGGACCAAGG